ACAACAACAACCACAACAACCACGACAACCACGACGACCAACGACAACGAAATCGACGACAATAACGACGACAACACCATCACCACCAACAAACACTTAACCACATCTTGAGAATTTGCTCGTGCAGCCAAAGCGTCTGCCTGAAAGGGGGGTTGCAAAAAAAGGAGGTTTAATTCCCGGTTCCCATCGGCCACAAATAGACACCAGCATGCTTCACTCCTCCGCGTCCTGGTGGTTGAGATTTAGCGACCCATGGAGACAGTACGGAGAGGATCAAAGTCGCTCCCACCCCGGAGGGCCGATGGGTACTGGCTACGCATGAGAGGCGCACCCAACACACGCGCGCACAGCAAGGAGATCCACATGCCAGGGCCGAAATGGGTCACGATGGTACTGTGGGGGGAAGCCGAGTGTAGGGTTTCCAGGCTCACCCCAAACCACCGGTTCTTGGGTTCGGCGCCCTCCGGTCTTTGGGTCGGCGCCCTCTCTGCTCACACTGGCTTCCGTAAAATCGGGGTGGCCCCAGCAAGGTGGGATGCTGGGGGGTGTCCTGCCTCTCGCCGATGGGATTCGCGATGAAGGCTCGGACTCTCCGCGTTCAAGGTGCAGTCGTCGGAGCTCGAGACGGCCGGTGCACGCACTACAATCTACGAATCCGAATCAAAACCCTGAGGTTTCCCCAGAACGAGTGCAAGTCCGAGTTGCACGGAATCGTGCTCCAGCCGCACATCACCCAGGGAGATCTTGAGGGCTTCCTCGATGGTCGCTTTGCTTGGCAAAAGGTTCGGGGTCAGGCGGGTGCAGAAAGATAAAGACGGCCGTGATTCGGTGTCGTTCCCCACAGCATCTAAGCAGCACTGCCGAGAATCGAGTGTTTTTGACGATGATCTGCTCGTAACATCTGACAAGGAAGGATACCCGACAAACACATGTGGTCTCCTTAAACCAGTGCATTAACGGGATTTCGGGATAGCGGACAAGACTGGACTTCCCTCTGTATCAAGGGCTGGGCAATGATCTCCACCGTGTCGGTGAGAGTAACCGGCCTGGGGTTTAGGGCTTTACGGGGTTGAGGGCTTTAGGGGGTTCAGGGCATCAGGAGGTTTAGGGTTTAGGGGTTTAGGGTTGAGGGTTTTGGGAATTTGGCTTTTTGCAGTTTTGGAGGTTTTGGGGCGATGCGCCCCGCGCGAGCACCCGAAATGGCTTGAGGCGCTGGCAGCTTTGCCACCTGGCCAGGTCGGGATTTCGTACTTGTAAGGAAGAAAAGAGGAACCACACAGCAGTAATCGGCTAAAAGCTGTAAAGATCGTCATTGACCCGAACCCAAATCGCCTGACCCACATGGCAAATCGAGAGCGCAATTGACACTGGACATGAGGACTCGAGACAAACTGTGTCTCACTGGGCCTCTGCGCCGCTGGGCATCTGGGGAAGTACCATGCCTGCTATGTATTGTTACTACTACTGGTACTACTCGTTCTGGTAC